GCAGGAATACGGCTCACCTAAATGCTCGATTCCTTCCTACTCGTGAACTCGACGATCAGAAGTAATCTCGAGTGATGCAAATTAGAGAGGCTGACCGGTGTAGTGAACGAGGAAGAGTCATGTTGTGGCAACCAGTAGAATGTTGTAGTGCACGTAACCAAGTGCGTACAGGTGGCGTTCGGGGTGGGGAAGAGGGTGGTGGTGGTAAGAGGAAGGGAGAGCGAAGTACGCGTCCTCGCGCAAGGCTGTAACAAGCGGGGATCAAAACTACAGAGTTTCCGGACTGTTGTCAGAGAAGCTTGTTACGACAAGCAACAGCTAATTCGAAAATACGCGTCTACTGGAATGTAGTTTTACGAGGGCATTGCAACTGTCTATTCAGTGGACAAACGCAGAAGGATATCACATATAAATTCACTGTCCGAGCCAATCAGGACTCTTACACGATGATTTCAGGACATATAAAGACTTAGCATTTCACAAAGCAAACACGGCAATACTTTCTTCCACCCGGACCGCTCCTGGGAATATTCCATCCATGAAAAAGACGATCGATGAAGCAACACCGGGAAGTTCGGGCCCGTATCTAGTTGCCTGACTGCCATATGCGCCGAACCCCTTGGTATTATGATCGAGTCAAGGTCACATGCACTGGCTTTCACCAATGTGCCCATCTTTTATTGATGAGAAATCAAAGATGTGCCCTACTATGCTCCAATTCACCAATCCGCCCGGATTCACACCAATTCGAGCACAGCACGTTTCCACTGGGGCTTGAGGCTGACTTCCCAAACACACTGTCGGCATGGCTTAATGTAGACAAGGCCGACCAGTGGCGGATCGAGGCCGAGTTCAACATATATGCATCCACTAGTAGTTGCTCTCGCATTGATCTCATCATCACAGTCATCAACCTAGCACGCGAGATGGAGCTTCTTTCCGTTTTGCCCACAGCGCTCTACATGTGCCTGAAACACTTGTCTCCCGAGGAGATATTCAATGGCGTCCGTGACGAGTCCGGGACGGTAGTCCAAGTCCTCTCCCCTGAAAATCGTCAAACCTGCGCGCTAGCAATGAAACCGTTCTGGAAGCTTTCCGGCGAGACATTCTCCTACATTCGGCGTATACCTATGCTGTGCTTGTCGCCTGATCACTGTTTACCAATCAAAGTAGAGGTGATGGGAGAGAACTTTTTCCCCTTCCCGTCTTTGGGGCCCTTGGACGACTCTCCCCTGGGAGTACGCGGAGACCTGTGCAGCGAGTGCGACTTAATCGCCAAAGATGCGCATGAGGACAGAATTCATGAAGCTTGGAATCGTTTACCTGGTATATTTGGGCTGCCTGGCTGGGAAGAGCTTCGTACAAGCCAAAGGGAACAAGGTTCGTGGAATATCCGTCTAATAGCTTGGGGACCATTCAACTTGCATTCAACTCTAATGTACTTTCAAATCCTTTAGGTGATTCGAGCTCCACCCCAGGTTGGTATCGCAGTTGAGCGTTTCGGTTCAATTGTAGGATTTGTGCTCTTGTTTCAATTGTTCGATCGAAATCACATCCTTCTGATTTTCAAGAAATAGCTTGTATTCGCCTACTCGGAGGAACTATGCTACGGCAACATTAATAGACGTATTTCATTCAACATCCTAATGGCAAGTGCAGTGCCAGCGCAGGGGAAAGAGGACGCTTCCAACGTCTACCCGTCACGCCGCAAGGGGGCCAGCCTTTTGATTTGTCGTCGATTGGGATTGTGCACAAGGTGATTACTTAGCGCTTATCGTCAACTTTATCGTAAGTCTGTGAACATTTTGGATCTAGATCTCCGAATCGGAGACGCTATGTAGCATCCCCAAGGAACATCGTGCTACTCATGTACCCTTTCACTTGTCAACTTGTGCATGTCTGGTCAAGCGCCTTGAGTTACTCTGTGTCCCAAGTATAGTAAGCCCCGCTCGCTTTGCCGCTCGCCATCCCCGCGCTGAAAGTTGTCTCAACCAGCGCATTTATCTGAATTTAACGGTGACGTCGCGAGTTATCCAGTGCCTGAAGTATGGGGCTTCCACCGTGGCGCTATTGGTATACGGTGTCGTCCAAAACTTCGGGGGCATTGGTTGCTCTGTGGACGTCACAAGACATCGTGTCCCCGCGCATTACCTACACTGAGTCGGTGCCTGTGCTACCATCGGTACGTGCGTGTCAGGTTCGTCGCAGTTCGTCATTTCCACCTTGCATGTATACCGAAAAGCTGTAGCATATTCGCTCACTGGGGAAGGTGATATCCCTCAACGCTTTTCTTGTTCGTCGTTTGTTCGCTTTCAAAAGAACAGACGAGTGGCTTTCGAGGCATGCAGTTACGTGCCGGAATGGTATTACTCCGGCGTGAGTAGAGTGTAGAGAAGGCGAGAAAGTTAGCCCGTTGTTTATTATTTTGGAGGGGAGCTAAAACTGAATGAATAATTCGGTGGACGGACTCATGTCACGTTTTCATGTAGTGAATATTCGCCACTTTATGGTTCTATGTTCCACGTATCGCAACGGCGGTTCTCACCGGCACCTCTTTATCATTCGCGCTTCCTTCCTTCTCTCAGACTGGATCTCGAAATATCTTGACCCACGCTGACTTGCAAACCCATTGACGGCGTCTATAGAATTCTTACCTCTGCTGGTGACATGAGTATAGGTGACGCCGTGTTCTTCTCCGAGCCAATGAGTATTCGCCCACAATAGAATCAGGTCTCCAGCACTTGAGTTACACCATCTGATGCTGTCGTCAGTTCGTGTCGTGCAATTCCGTTGTGTGCACCACAAATCAAAGGCGAATGTGGAATTTCTGCCACCTAGTCGGGTCGACTTTGACAGTGACACTGGACAGCGCGGCACGAGGTTCTACTTCAGAGTGCTCTATGTCCTCTAGCCTCCTTATTCTTAGGGTGGAAGACGGGTCGATGTGGTCACTGCAGATACCGGTTTGAGAGCACGCACAAACGACCTCACACTACGGGCAGCTGCCATTTTTTTGCCGAAGAAAAGGGAGAGAAAATGCAGATGGGTGAAAACCTGACAGAACGCCTTTTCTGGATAAGAAGAGGATAAAATGGACCTGAACTCGGTCAAATTACTTCATTTGGATCCAGAAAAGGCGCTCTCTCGGGTGCAATTGTGATATTTCCTCTGACGGTGACTTTTCTCGCGGCGAAAGCTCAGCGAAAAAGGTTTTCACCCATCACCCTTTTCTCAGGCCAAAGTGGCAGTTTGCCCGTGGTGTCATCGAAGTTGACGGTTCCGGAGTGTAACCTAGTGTAACGACAGCCAACCTCAGCCATCTCGACTTCTCTTCTATAGGTCATACGGTGATCACCGCAAATCATTACCCCTGAAAGTGACATTCGTGTGGGACTGCCAGCTGTCCTCGACCTTCCTCGACTCCACTTCTTTGGCCTTTTCCGGGGCTATTTGAGGACCCCTGCTATTTGGCATTTTTCACGTCCAGACACGTCCATTATCGCAACTGCTGTCCGCGGCAAATACAGATGATTGACACCAGAGCCTTGACACTTTGACAGCGAGAAGACGTCTCCTAGTGACTTCTCCACCGTCGTGCACCTTCCAGCGGTGATATCTTGTTTCTCTAGTGCTTGGTGATGATGCAAGGGAGTTTGAAGGGGTAGTCGCATGGTGTCGCATGTCTCCAGCGCATGCTACTCCTCATCTATCAATAGGCTTCTCCCCTGTATTGGAAAGGGTAGTTGAAGCGATCTTATTGATCGCCTGGATGGGGGTTGAACCACGTCTGACATGTGAGTGGAAGAATAATTTAGAGTGCACTGTCACTACTTACGGAAGGTATTATTTGGCAGATAACGCTGGCGTGGCTCATGCGTAGAAATGAGGAGAGGTCTATGAATAACTCTGCGCTACTATATAACTTGCATCCCCGCTACCTGATCGAGCCCAACGTCCCCAGTAAACTCTCGGTTTTGCCATATCTTCAGCTTCATTTCTTCTTCGCGCTACAGATGTGGTCGAAGCTGTTGTCAGCTGTACTCGTTTCCCTCGTCTTCCAGGGCACTCAAGCCCAGGTCGTCGCGCCCACCGGCACTCTTGCCAGCATCCTTCCCGCCGCCACCGACCCTGCTTTTGGCGGCTTTGTCTCTGATGGCGGCGCGGGCGGCAACATCAACGGACAAAACCTCTTGACCCTCTCAGACCCGGCCGTCGTCAATGCAGACGGCTCGGTCAACTTCCCCTCCGCTCATACCGGCTACGCCATCATCGATCCCACCAACCCCAGCCAGATCACCATCATCGGGGACTACAGCGGTAGCAACCCCGACTTCTGGCACGGAACGCCCGACAACTCGGGTGCCGGCGGTGGCGTCATCAACGTCCTGCCCGACGACATCGACTGCAACGGAAATGCCGATTGTTTTTCTCCCGCCCCGCACACCGCCGCGATCCCCATTCCCGGGAACAGCACCGGCGCGCTCAACGTCTGGCCCGTTCATCCCAACGAGGGCGACTACATCTACAACACCATGTTCGAGCTGAACGTGCAGGACCCGACCACACTCAACTCCCAGACTCAGCCGTTCAGCGGTCAGCGCACCGTTCCCGTGCTGTTCAACGTCTCGCAGGGCCACGCCGGCTACGGCAGCCGCGCTCTCACGTCTGGGCAGGGCGACGACGCAGCGAACCACTTCTACCTCTGGGAGGGCGACACCACTGGTCTCAAGGTCGCGCGTGCGCCGTGGGCGTCCCGCACGGACACCACGACGTGGGACTACTGGCACGGTGGCGACGGCTGGGTCACCAACCAGCCCCTCACGTACAACGGCGACGCGTACGGCAACGTGCTTAACCTCACCAACCAAAACGTGCGTATAATTACTTCGTCGCTAATATCCTAGTGCGATTACTGACGCATGAATCCTCGCAGCTCTTCTACGGCTGTGACGTCCGCTACATCGACCGCTTCAACACGTTCATCATCACCTTTAGCGGTGGCGCCGACTACAGCCAGTACATTGCCTACTCAACCTCGGGCGATATCACCGGGCCGTACTCCGACCCGGCGATCCTGTTCAACCCCCAGCTCAACTCCGGCTGCGCAGGCAAGAGCGGCCTCCAGCTGACCGACTTCCCCCAAATGCACTGGGATTACTACGGCACTACCGCGAGCCAGACACTTGTCAGCTGGATCTCGTGTGACTACTATACCGACATGGGTATCGTGGAGTGGTCCTAAGCGAGTTCACTGCTTGAAAGTTGTTTAGTAGCTATGGTTTCTTGAGAATGCCTTGTTCGTATTACCTCCACTGATTGTTATGGTTTTTTCACTGTTTGTTTTTACTACTATGATCGAAGATGTACATGACGCCTGGCTACGTAAATTTGATTCCATTTCCTCTTGTATGATTTGCACTGCATCAACGATAGCTTCCTGGATACTTTCAAAATAAAGGAGAGCTTATAGACAGAAGAATTAAAATTGCGAGGATAGTTTACGTTACGTTTGAGCGTGGACATCCAAGTCCATGGCAATATCTCCGTCGTTGCCCTCGGACGAGTGTCTCGTAAAAGTGATTGTCGACAGCGTTTTGTGGAAAGTGTTTCCAAGAGCTGCAAAGGTAGCACTTGGCCATTTATACAGGCGACGGAAAGCGCAGTCAAAGGCTTTCTCGTATTTCTTCACGATGGGTGTCAGAATTACGTCTAGTATTCGACCCTTTACGGCTTTATTGGTTCATCCAGAAGCCTCCTGTACGGCGATGTTCCTCCTAGAGGTCTACAAGTAAACACCGCCTTCATACGTCTATTCAGGCGCTTAGTATCCCATAGGTACTTTAAGCGCTTACGCACTCGTGTGGCTCTGCGTTCATCGCATAGGGCCACGTTCTGCTTACGTAGCCGTCCTGCATTACCGCGGGACTTGGACTGCATAGTAGTTACGAATACGGTAGTGACTTCACACGCTCCTGTCATATATATACAGTCGCTACCATGAATATCATCTAAGTCTTCTCTCTCCACCGAACAACTACCATCGTCAGCTATCAGCCTAACCCGCTACTACTCAACCTTCAATACTAACTGCCCGGTGAGTCTGCGCTTTCATAGACATCCTAGCTATACTCGCGTCAGTCCTTTGTCAGGTTATGAGCCCGCGGGGCGCGGCGGAGCCTAGT